GTTACAGATTAAATAATTGGTAGTGTTGCATGTAGTTTATTGCAAAACTTAGAATGTTAAACGTGACTGAATGCAAAGCGACAATTATATCGAATAAATTTAAAACTTAACTTCTTAGAAATGGCTTAACTAATATTAACTCTTTGTTAGAAATGGCTACTTAAACGCATCATCAATATTTTTAGTACGAAATGACTTTACTGAAATAAGTACAATATGTACAAGCAAATGTACGCAGATGCATATAATATTGACCAATTGTAGAAGAAAATGAATAATAATAAAAATATTACATTTTTGAAAAGTAACGTTAATATGAATGTTGCCATCGTGGCTAGTACTACAATCCACCGCATGATGGTGCGTGAATCACATTCGTGCTGTGCTTTTAACTATGAAATAAGTCAGAATTCTAAAATAGTTGAACCTTTTATTAATTACACCGTTATCAAAATAATGATGAGCTGAAATTCACTCAACCATGTATTGCTTAGCCCCACTACCATTTCAATTTAATAAATATTTTTAAAAAATTTTTCCACTCAGGTTAAGATGCACAATCATTTACAATGTTTATGAATGCCATAATACTTATGATGTTATAAACTACTTACTTAGAGATATTATATTAAGTTTTATCTAGTTTTATCGTTATTCTCATTTCATTCAAACGTGGATTTACCCCACTTTCGAAATAAAGAGCTGGATTTATATCCTTTGATATGGATAGATACCAGATCGAAATTAGAAAACCGATATCGATGACATCAGTCACATCGCTAATCGCAGTATTTGCAGTGTTAAGTTTAAACATCTAAAGATAATTCTAAATCTACAAATCTTAAACGGGACGTCTAACGATAATTCTAAACCTACAAATCTTAAGCTGAATCGTAAAAAGTTACCCTTAATTGTCAGGTTGCGTTAAAAGTAGAAAAATCGACATTACAACGTTCGGCATCTTTCTAACTTTCTCCATCTCCACTTTAAAACAGCTTCCATTCCGTCCTAGTTTCTGGGATCAAGCTGCATAATCGTGTCGAAGTTTCGGAAACGCGTTCCTGAAACAGCACGCACGTCCCATTCTCCGTAGATCTGTCGTTAACGAGACTTTATTCGACTTCTCATCCGCTTGAATATGCATCGAGCAAGCACGGGCTGCGGAAAAGTAGATCAGAAGGATCGTGGAAGGGTAAATAGAACCAACTTTCGTAAGCTCGCTCCTTGCAAATTGTTCTGGAGATGAAATCAACGATACGAGTCTGCTTGTAGAATAATGTGGCACTTGGAAAATTGCTTTGTTCGTCCCGCCAGAAGGAACAATTTCCATTTTTAGTACAATTTTCCTTGTTATTGTAGACAAATATGATGTGCCAATGATTTAGCAAACACGAAAACAATTTGTAATTTTAAAGAAGCCTTTTTCGAATTATTTTTAATATAATGTACATTGTACTGTGACTTGTTCGACTGGAAAATATGTGTATGTTTACTTTGTACAGCTAAGAAATTACATCTTTGTAATCTTCAGAAGTCACATTAAATTATATGTTTTAGGTCAAACTACAAGTCCAAAATTTTAGAATTTTAGAGAACTTGAGCAGATTTATTTAAATCTGATGATTAAACAACGTGGTTAAAATTTTTATATGTTTATTTTGTTTACGAACAAACAATGCTCATCGCAACTAGACAGCGCATAGAATCGAGACCTAGACTTTCTCGCTAGTACTCAAAGAGCCTTCTTATTCATATATATAGTTACTGTCCATCCTTTCCTTATATCTCCGCGTCTAACAATAAGGCACGGGCCTGCTAGAACGCCTTACTGATGAATCCACTAGCAGGCCCCGGACAAAACGTTCTCCCTCTCCTTTACTTTTCCTATCCTCCCTACCATAGCTAGCCGAACTGCCAAAGTATAGTTAAATGTCTGCCATTTTTGTTCCTTAATTGTTAATTTTTAAACAATTGTTGATCCTGATCATCGAAATTATTAGACCATTTCGCTTTCCTTGTATATTCAATCATATCTTTCTGCTTTTGTTTTTTGTGTTTTACCTTTTACAATTATTGTGAAAGTGTCATTCATATTGTAAAAATTTGATATTTCTTTATTTGAAAATTTGAGAACTACATACAGTAAATATTCGATATGCGCACCATTTTCGAGTCTGAACTGGTGCAGAAATCATACAGGTCCTGCATTGATTGATGTTTTGCCGTACGTAGAAGGACAGCGAAGGATACCGAATGTAAACAAACGGAAACATAGTGAGGGATAATACTAATGAGTAGAACTTCTTTATTTTCCATTTTTTCGTTATCCAACTTTTACTAATAGATTCTTCATATTTTTCTGATTAAAATAAGACTAAACACTAAATAATTTAAACTATGTATAGTATATATTCGATATGTGCACCATTCACGGGCCCGAACTGGTGCAAATATCGTACAGGTCCTACATTTCGAGCGAAGAAGATTGAACGTAAACAGTGACCTATCGGTAGGACACTCCTAATGCAAGAATAAAACTTTATTTTTTATTTTTTATTTTTTTGAAATTTTTTGCATCATATTTGTAACATTTTTGTCGTTAAAATGAGACCAAACAGGACCAAACTCGACATACTTCGGGACATATTTACTTGTAATTTCAAGTGTTACGCGTACATCGATGACTTTACTCTAATAAGATATTGCAAGTAAATATAACTCAAATTACGTCGTGTTTGGTCTCATTTTAGTCAGGAAAATATCACGAATATGATGGAGAAAGATATATAAAAAAATGGATGAAAAATACAAAATTTAGCAATGCTTAAGTATTGCAAACAATCGAACAGACTTTTGATCTTTGCAATCTTTGCCGACTATCACGATCGTAGCGTCTCTTTCTTTTTGACTCGCTATCCTCTTCGACGCGAGAAACTTTTATCGACAATTAAACCAGTAAATATAGTCCATATTATGTCGTGTTTGGTCTTCTTTTAATCAGAAAAATGTAAAGAATCTATTGGTAAATGTTGGATATCGAGAAAATCAAAACTAAAAAAGTTTTATATCTGTATATGTATTGTTTCACGGATAGGCCCCACCCCAGATCATGTTACGTTTCTCGGCGATTGAACTTCCGGCGTCTAGAGGGGTCTTCCCTGCAGTGGTGAGGATAACTTTGGTGCACATATCGTATAAGTTATTTGTGCAGATATCGAATATTTATTGTACTTCGATACTTTTAGATTTTTAAATTTGAAGTTTGCAACGAACATTGTAAATATAACCGAAACAGAAATTATATCTGGATAAAAATTCCTGTATTTAAGTTAGTCTGTAGATATTATTTGATCAAAACGAGAACTTTCATTTTATAAGCGTATGGTTTTTCCGCAATTCATGTTCAATGTGTAGCCATTAATTTAGTAAACATTAATTTCAGCTGAGAAACGTTTGAAAAACCGATACGAAATTCTTAATGGGATTTTAATTACCATTCGTTTTTCTTTTTCCACTGGGGAAAAAGAGAATACGTACGGTATTTCCCGTTGCTTAAAATCGAACATCTGGTATCTTGAACCGGGTTAAATCGCGTGCACGTTAATCGAAACAAATAATTAAAAGCTCCATTTCTATAGAGCACCGTGACCTATAGCAAACCGACGGTTCGTGTTCTCGCATTTATTATTCGTACTTGCCATTTGTTCCGTGCAAAAAACGCTCCTGTGTTACCACACATGGCAACACAATATCAGAACAATATTATGTTCCTAATTAAAAATATCGTATCACCGTGAAACTTGTCTTATTCTGAACACGCGATTCTGACAACTCATTCTTCCTCTATATTTTTTGCGTATTCTTCGTAGCAAAAATATACTTTGCATTTAAAAAAAGGTGAAAATAGTTTCACTTTCTACTCGATTAATTATTACTACATAAATATTAAGTTTCTTAATGTATTTCTCAGGAACATTAGATCACATGTAGGTATATTGTGGATTTGATTGTATTTTTATAGGTCATACGTAAACTTATGATTGAATATACAAATTTGCCTTTTTATGTGGTTTATGTATATTGTTAATTATTTTACCAATTTTTATTTAACGTTCAAGATATGCACAGAAGTTCGTTATTTATCAATTTAGAATAGATTGCAGATAGTTATCTCTTCAAATCACAGATGGCAGATCATGTTTTAAAATCATTGCGGGAGTGAGGCTTCTGAGACTACTCGATTTCCATTTGTTTGTTTATTTGTATGTACCACGCTACAGACCGCAGTTTCGGGGGTTTTCACTTAAAATTTTGATGGTAGACTTGTGAGGCATCCTAATGTTTTTTAAAAGATTTTTCCGGTAATTTGACAGCAACTTGTCATCATCGATGTCGATTGGCGTCGAATTGATAAAAAATCGTATATCTTTTTACACGTGGAATCAACTGGAGCCAAATTAAAAGTTCTACAACTCATCAATGACGGCAATACATCACTCACGTTAGTCGTCGTGAAATCACAAATAATTGTGTTTAGTATCGTTTTCGATAGTTTCAGTTTAACACTAAACCTACCGGCATACAATGTGTACTTAATTTGAAATTAAAAATGAAGTTAAAAAATAAAGAAACGACGAAATATAAATTAGTACACATATTTATGCTTTATCTTGATGGAAATCAATGCTGATTTCAAGGAATGTACTTTAACAAAATGTGCACTTTACAACAAGAAGTTTGGTAGTTTTAGTATTAACTGTTTGGTCAGCTTTAAAATTTCTACATCTCATTCTTGTTCTATATGACTACAGTACGTACTCTTAATTTGAAATACTCATTTGAATTCGCATATGGCATCTGATTTATAAATTTTCCAATAAAAAGTAGAAATAATTGCGCCTTCTAAGTATCGTTATCTGAACATAAATTGTTCTGATCTCATTGAATAATAGTCCTACAATAACGAAATTTGTGAATTATAATATCGCGCATGATTGAAGTTATGTAGAAAAAAGAAGCCTACGTGGCAGCCGAGTATACCTGATGGCGCGTAACGGAAGTACGTAAGACGCGTTTCCGATTCGTATGATGACAATGGATAGCATTAACCGCGCATTTCTACGATCTGCGGAGAATGCACGCGCGAGCGAAGATACACGGCTTCGCGGATTTGATTCGAATGCGCTTGACATTCGTTCGAGACGGAATACCAAGAAATCACGCAGATACTTCCACACGATGGAATACGAGAGTTGGCTACCGATTGATCTCGACGATCCTTCGTGGCGTGGCGTGGCTTTACGTTAACGATTCCGCAAATGCTTCCCAACTACGTCTGCAGAAATTTGATCGATCAAATTTGATCGTACAATGATGCTGTGCTGATGATACGCGATAAAACTGAGTTCAAATATACTCCCCACGATGCTTGTAATAAATTTAAATAATTCAATATTTAGGAAGTACGTCACTCTATTGTTTTTATTGCTGTATAATGTTATAAAAATGAATCTTGCAGACAATACATTGTGATGAGTACATCAACCCTTTAAAATTTAAATAATTTATTCTTTAGGAAATAATTTATACAGTTGTTACTCATCCTTATACAGAATCTTAAAAATAAATATTGAAGACAATGTAGTTCGTGCAAAAAATATACCAATCGGTTAAAATTTAAATAATTTAATCTTTCGGATATAAATCATGCTATTGCTTAATATCATGGAGTGTTGTAAAAATAATTATTGAAAATAGTACACTGCATACAATAAATATACCAACTCTGTATTACTGGCTTATTCCATATTTTTTCCTATTTTCTTTTTTCTAAATAAATTTAATACATTCAAACACATATAACTACAACACTAAAAAAAGTATAAATTATTATTTACATTTAAATGGTGAAAAGATTTATGAATGCCTCGAATAATTTGTTATCTAAATGTGTAATGAAATGTATGTATGATAAAATATAAAATTATTATTATTATCATACATATTAAAAATAATGCGATATCCGATAATTGACCGATGTTATCAGTCTCTAATTATTTTCGTATAACTTTACTAACATATTCTTTAAATAAAAATAAGAAAAAATGTTTATGTCAACATAGACTCTTGAATTCGTTCTTAAAAATTATTGCAAACAATATAATATGGATAATTAGTCATATATAGTATTAAAGGAGAGAATTATTTATTTTATCATTTCGTATATTCCTTACAGACTTTCAATAACTTTCAAGTGTCTAATATTTATACACCTTTTTTTCATTTTTATTTCTAAAACATGCTGATAATGTTTTACATACAAAACGGAAACATACTGTATGTTGCGTAGGAAAAGCAATTTGAAGGCATTTAACACTTTTGTTGTAACTTCTCAAGGAACGTTAGAACCACGTATCAGTGTATCTTTATCATACTTTTTCATATGGAATATGTTGGGAAAGTTTGAAGGATGAAATCTAGGACACCCTGTATAATAATTTCTTTCGTAAGATCTATAAAAATGCCCGCTATCTGGTTAGGTTTACCCTCCATTATTATGTTTGCGACTATCGCGCCATCTGTTGTTCGAGGATTAACCTTCGAATGATGGAGTTGGATCAATCGTGACCGATTCTCTGAAATGTATTATTTATACTAACAAGATATTGCATATGAAAAGGTAGATTGTGAGACACAGACAGTCTGATATAAATAAGGGATATTCTAAGTCTTCTGCTCTATCTTCCATTCATATTAAAACGTAATCAAATGAAACTTTGTTTACCGTCTCCCATTTTAGGTAAATAGTTTTCAATTACACTAAATATAAATGTAGAAATAAATCGAATTATCACAACATACCGAAATACACATTGTTAAAATAAAAGTTTTTAACGGTATATCTGCTCAGCAACATATTACATGTTCAGCTACAATATCTGTTGGTATATTGTGTACTGTCTATTCCAATATTACTTACAAATCACTACTTTTGATTATACTAAATATTACTTAATTTTCTTTGAATCATATAGTAATATATGAATGTAATGTATCGTAGGTTCCTTTAAAAAAATATTTCACCTCCCTTCCTTCTTAATCAACGGACACACTGAACAACAACCGAAGGCTCCACAAAATCTTAATTCAGTCCTGCTTTCAACCCAAAGATATTCATTACCCCGCCCCATTCCATTTTACCAGTTTGCTCAAACCTGAAACTGTCAAACTCTGTTAGAGTCACCGATGTTCATTCACGCTTGCCAGATTGCTCTCGAAAAATATTGACTTGCATAGTGGTGCCGTTTCCAGCGACGGTACACAAAATCACGGAAGTAAACATCTTCCACTGTCATTATGATTTTGTGATACGTTTTAGTCCAACAGCAGGACGGAAACGGCACTGTTCAGAATGGAGATACGTCATCGCGGTCTTTACAAGTGGCTTTGGTGTTCTCAAAGCGGATGCACGGCCACGGGCCTTGCAAGTAAGGCGGAATGGTGCAGCAGATTGGAACTGGGCCAAATATTTATTCACATCGTGGCGGACAAGAGTGTAGACTGTTGCTTCGTCGTACGCCCGCATTATACAGGATGTACCATAAGTGATGGTTTTAGTACCCATAAATAATAAGAACGTTTGTCTTACGCGACAATAAACTTGTCAATGAGCGGGCTAAGCTTTTCTACCAACTATTTATTGGTTTAATATTTCATGCACGAACTCATCACCTATTGTCTAACCCGAATGAAAGATTTTATCATGTTTCATTTCATTTTTCGTGAATGAAAGATTACGTTAATTTCACTGACTTTTTAAAAGAAATCTCACAAGACATCACAGACGTTAGCTCATCCATTTTGGTAAAACTAATAAATCAAAGCAGGAATAAGCCCATCCAAGTTTAGCCGTTTCTGTCGATATTCGTTACCTCCGAAGATATTCAATATTTAATTCTTTGATCTCCCGAAATACTAAATTCTTTAATCGTATCATGCTGGCTATAATGGATTAGTGAGTTCCGGAATTATTAATAATGACGGAGTTGAACGCATGTCATAACAAGCTTTTGTTCTGTATTTATCCGTTTCCTCTTTTAATTTGTTCTTTCTGAATATATGTATAGATATATTTATAAAGATCAAACAGACTCATTTTCATTCTTGAAACAAATTCACTTTTATGCTTTGATATACCCACTTTTATTCTTTGAAATTCATTCCAGAAGTTCATTCACTTTTTACAGTTTTATTGATTTTCATTCACTTTTATTCACTTTCATTCATTTTTATTCATTTTCAGTCATTTTTAGTCATTTTCATTCATTTTTATTCATACTTCAAGTGAAAGATTAAAAATAAATCGTTCAAGAAAATGAAGTGTTTAACATAAACATTACAACCATATTTTTTTAAAAATTGTATGAAGCTAATACACAAACTTACTGTACAAAATGTCTAATTACATAAATAGTATAATTATGAGGCACAGGTTTGAAAACCAAGCGTCAGTTCGTAGAACTATTTTGGCGACGGCTCTTCAAATATTGAAGAGGTTTGCCAGCGGATTCGAACAACACCTGGCACTTTTCAGTGAAAAGATCGATGATAAGATGTCTAGAGACTTGTATTCGAGTTAGATGTAGTAAGTTAAAAACTTCAAACAATGTTTGCGAACACAGGCATGACAGTGATACAACATTAAAATAACAGTCTTCTATGTGGATTCTGGCAAGTAAATTCACTATAATGTTCGCATGTTGTGGTACAACCTGTATTTTAGCAGGTGTTTAACACCTCCCGCATAATAAAATCGTCGAACCACTAAATATCCCTGGCCGACTTGCTAGTGAAAAGTGTTCCATGCTGTTGGTATGGACAATGTACAACATTTTGCCAGATTCTGTTCCAGATACGAGATTCGCTGGCTATTCATTGATTTTATTGGATAGCCAATTGAACGTGAAGCTATTTTTACGTAAACCTACACGTTTCAGCGATAATGTAACTATTCGAACGATTATAGTTCCATTCAATCACAGTGGCAAATTCTGTGTTAATTTTAATGAATTTTGTTTATTTTAGTGCATCAAATAATTTTATTTTTAAATATGAAAGGTTTATTAAGAATATAATATAAGAGTTTGAGAATTTGGAATTTAGACATTTGGGAATTTGGAAATTTGGGAATATGAGAATTTGGAAATTTGGAATTTAGACATTTGGGAATTTGGAATTTAGGCATTTGGGAATTTGGGAATTTGGGAATTTGGGAATTTGGGATTTTGGGAATTTAGGAATGTGGGAATTTGGAATTTAGGCATTTGGGAATTTGGGAATTTGGGAATTTGGAAATTTGGGAATTTGGAAATTTAGAAATTTAAGAATATAGGGATTAAAAATATGATAATTTAGACATTAGAAAGTTAGAAACTGTGATAATTCACTTTTAGAAATTTAGGACTTTAAAGGTTTTGTAATTTAGAAATATGTAATTACAGAAAAATTACATTTCATTTGATATTAAATTATTGTTTTTCTATTATCAATTTATCGATTCAATAATACAGATGAATTGCTTCAGATTCATCTGAATTATGAGAATCGTTACATTTTTTTAGATTTTCTAAGATAATTTCTTAACTTCACTTCATCTTATTGATGATTGAAATATCTGAAAAAATATATTAATTTATAATACAATCTTTAAACGAATTATTTTCTTAATAACCTATTTACAGAAGTGAATTGGACGTTTATAAAGCAGTTGTATATATAATCATTTTATCAACAATATAGTACTTAAAATATTCGAATACACATTTTTTTTATCTCAATTTTAAAACCCTTTCTTGTCTTTAATATGAACAATGCTTAATAGCAAAGAAATACTTATATTGTTTAAAGTTTTACATTATATGTATATATAAAGTTTTCATTATCATTGACGTGTATTACTTCAATAGACTTACAAATAATGTTTACACTTAATTAATCGAAAAATAAAATTTTGTAAAAAAATTGCTAATCCGTGCAAATAACTAGTTCTTTATCAGAAAAAATAAATTGATCATGATATTGAATA